TGTGTGTTTTTTGTTTTTGGGAAAAAATTTTTTTTTTTTTTTTTTTTTTTCCCCCCTCCCTTGACTCTTATTTTAATGAGCTGACTGCTTTTAGGCACACTATAACGTCACCACCACTCAGCTGCTGAACCCAGACCAACTGTTGAACGAAATAATGGCTGTTCTTTCCAAGAAGCGTGTGGAATACGTTCAGAAGGGGTAAGTGTCCAACATGATGAACTTCAGCTTGTACTTACATAAATAGTCAGTACTGCAAACCTTGATAAAGCAAAGTATTTAAACCTTCTCAGCCTCACTCTGTAAAATGCAGTGACTTTATAGACAGTGTACGAAATGAACGTCTGCCATAAAACTTCTCCCCTCAGCACAAAACAACATGAAGTGAGCTCTGATAGAGCCTGGTGACTGGTAGGTGGGAACAGTGAGGTCTCTCTTAAAGGCTGATAGAAATTCATCTGTCTCTTGTGAAATTGTCAGTGCAAAAGGTTTGTTAGGGTACAGTCACATAAGCAAATCAGGCAATTTTGGGAGATAATGCATATACCTCTAACCCTCTATTCTTGGCAGTAAAAACACACAAGAGATCAGGATATTTTAAAAGCTGCACAGAGTCTACACCTTTGTGTCACCTTATTTTGTAGGATTTCCTAACTAAAGTACTGAGAGTAGGCTTGGTCCGTAGTTCTGATCAAAGCTCAATGCCTGCTTCCTAATTTCCCAATGCATGAAAGAGATGTGCTCATTTATGAATATGAGTTTTTCTAAAGTTCTTGACTATTTAAATGGTAGGCACTGTAGAACGTGAAGAGTGTACTTCAGCCCTTCCAAGCTCAAAATCTGGAGGAAGGATGCTGAGCTCCACGGAGGTGCCTGGGGGTCTGTGGCCAGCAGGGGCTCCTGTGGCTGGGGGCAGATGTTACTTGGGCCTTAGGGTACCTTTCTGAGACTGAAGCACTCGAAGCTCTTGCTTCACTAAATTCTGGGTTATTCCCCAATATTCATAAAATCATAGAAGTGTCTAGGTTGGAAGGTCATCGAGGCCAGCCATCAACCTAACACTGATAAAACCCATCACTAAACCATGTCTCTAAGCTCTATGTCAATACATTTTTTGAATCCCTCCAGGGATGGTGCCTCAACCACTTCCCTGGACAGCCCATTCCAAGGCTTAGGAACCCTTTCAGTGAAGAAATTGTTCCTAATATCCAATCTGAACCTCCCCTGGGGCAACTTGATGTGATTTCCTCTTGTCCCATGGCCTGTTCCTTGGGAGCAGAGACTGACCCCCCCTGGCTACACCCTCCTTTCAGGGAGTTGGAGAGAACGAGAAGGTCTCCCCTCAGCCTCCTTTTCTCCAGGCTGAACACCCCCAGCTCCCTCAGCCTCTCCTCATAAAATTTGTGCTCCAGACCCCTCACCAGCTCCGTTGTCCTTTTCTGGACCCCCTCCAGCCCCTCAATGCCTTTTTTGTGGTGAGGGGTCCAACACTGGACACAGCCCTTGAGGTGGGGCCTCACCAGCTCCCAGTACAGGGGGACGATCACATCCCGAGTCCTCCTCCCCACGCTGTTCCTGATGCTTTATTCTATAGCAATGGGATCATTTATTTAAAGTGTTTCTATTCCTTCAAAACTTATTGCAAAACAAACATTAAGTGTTTCCATGATTATTCTGTTTTTCCTTTTTTGTTTTTGCTACAGTTACACCCTGAAATGTCAAATGCGGTCGGAGTTTGGGGAGGTGTCCCTGAAGTTTGAGTTGGAGGTGTGTCAGCTCAGTAAGACGGAGCTGCTGGGCCTGCGGCGGCAGCGGCTGAAGGGTGACGCCTGGGCCTACAAGAGGCTGGTGGAGGAGGTTTTATCCAGCTGCGGGCTCTGAGGGGCTGCTGCCCCTCCTGAGGAACCAGCAATTGTGTACCGAGATTTTAATCATTGTGTTTCAGGAGAGTCTGTTCAGAAAGGTAATTCTTAGTCACGTTCACAGCTGCGTTTGAAAAATCTGACAGCTTTCTCTTTTTTTTTTTACCATTTCTCTTTGCACATGTGTATTTTTTATGTTTACATGACTTCGTAATAAATGTTGTGCAACTGCAACTCTTCTGAAGTAAAATTTTGTAAACTGTTCCTCCTCTTGTGTGTTTTTCACATATGAGGGTTAAAAAAAGCATGGGTGTTTGTGTGCTGAAGCTGATTTTGTTATGTCTTCAGTTACCCCATACATGTGGTACAGAAATAGTCATTTGCATAATTCTCTTCTTGTCTCTGCTTAAGTAGGATTTATTGAGATCATTAACTAAGTCACAGCTGTGGTTCCCGGAGTTGCACTGTGCGCTCGGTGTCGTACAAAATGGGACTGTCTTCAATAAATGAAGTCAAGAGGGCTGGGATTTAAGCAGCAGCCCCACATAAAGCATCGCTGTGTCTCGTTGCGAAGCCTCGGTGATCTGTAACCAAGTACGTGTGTGCTCACTGACACTCTTGTGTTAAGCCACCGTCAGAACCTCGTGTGAAGAACCAGAGCACCTTCGAACTGGTGGTGTGTGGAGAAGCCATTTGTAACCCTGGCTGCCTACGAGGAGTCCAGGGGGACACCTTTAGCAGTGCTGGGTGCAGAACAAGAGGTGAAATTTGAAATATAGAGAACTGGTAAGTGCACGTAAGAGTTGGCTGGGGTGATAGTGGTATCCCTTTGAAAAAAGAGAAGCTGTGGATGCCCTGGAGAAGCCATGGCTGTTCTGTCCCTGGAGGGGTTCAAGGCCAAGTTGGACGGGGCTTGGAGCAAGCTGGTCTGGTGGGAGGTGTCCCTGCCCAGGGCAGAGAGTGGGACTGGATGAGCTTTAAGGTTCCTTACCATCCAAACCATTCTCTGATCTATGAAAAAGTGTGTGTCTCGTGTATTCATGCCTTTCACCTTGCTCCAGCAGCAGTCAGACTGGGATAAATCCAAGCAGCAGCAGTGGGAAGACAGATACGTTGAAGCCTTTCTCTATGTGAAGATGTTCAGTAGCACCTAGACAAATTGATAATGTGCTGCAGGTTCTCCTGAAGGTACCTGAAGGCAGCTGTGACATATGCTATATGTAAGCCCCACGTTATTGCCCTGTAACTAAAGCTGAAGGCTCACCCATCAGAGGGTTGGGTAGGTGAAGAGTCAGAGGTTGATGGAAGCTTTCATTGACAGACACAGAATCGTTTTGGTTGGAAGGGACCTTTCAGGTCATCAAGTCCAACCATCGACCCAACACTGACAAACCCACCACTGACCCATGTCCCTCAGCACCACGTCTGCCCGGCTTTTAAACATCTCCAGGGATGGTGACTCCACCACTGCCCTGGGCAGCCTCTTCCAAGGCTTCACAACCCTTTCGGGGAAGCTTTTTTTCCCAATCTCCATCCTAAACCTCCCCTGGTGCAACTTGAGGCCATTTCCTCTTGTCCCATCACCTGTTCCTTGGGAGAAGAGACCAACCTTCACCTGTGCTAATTAAAACTCTTTGCTCACTATCCACAACCCTTAATGCAGTAAATAAAGGTATTTCTTTTTGTTAAAGCAGTTACTGGCCAAGGTAGATGTGTCCCTCATTTTTTTCCAGTGCCAAGTTTCTCCTTTGCTGCTTTTTAGACAGATAAAGGAATTGGGAAATTTTTATTGAATGACATGAAACTGCAGAAATGCTTGCAGGGGTTTGTGGAAGGAGAGTCTTAAAAGTGTGTAGAAATGTCTTAAAATTTTGTGTGTGACTGGCCTGTAAACTAAGGGTTTATATTGATAAAAGCACACCTAAACTATTTTTCTAGTAAATTAGTGCTCAGACCCTCCTGTCTGCACTTGAACTCTCTGTACCTGGCTCCTACAGCTGCAATATTACACTTCTGTTTGGTTTTTGGACATTGAAATTTGAAATATGGGTTGGAAACGGGCTGGACCTGCTGGCCGTGCCGCGGGGGGCTGTGGCCAAAGCCCATCTGCAGCACCATGGGATTCTGTGGGTTTTTGGCCACTTCCTTGTTGTTTGAATGTGAACTTTTCCCTGAGAATTGGGCTTCTGCCCAGAACTTGATCTGAGTTGGATCAAGGGTGGAAGAGGGCAGGGCTGTCAAACCAGGTGACGGTCTGGCTGATGAGGACCACGGTGTGTTTTAGGTCCCCAGTCACAACTGCAAAGCCCAAGGGCTGAAGAATTTGGAACATTCACTCGCTTTCGTGTCCCTGGAGTTGAAATGTGAGGAATGACTGCAGGAATATCCTGAAGTACTTGGGCTGCCCCCGTTCAGAAGCACATTCTGTGCGAGCCGCTGTCTCCTGCCGACAGCGACAGCACTGGTGCTATGAGAGGACAAACAGTAATTAAGATATCTTGTTCCTTCCTTGTTTTTAAGCTAAAAACAACTGGGAGATAATTGATTCGAGTTGTCTTACAAGCTCTGATGTGTGAAATAAGGTTCCTCTTCGTAGGCTACCGTCCTGACTATTCTTTTGCTAATATTCCTTGCTGCGTATGAATGACACCTGGTGATGGGAATCAGAGAACAGGTCAGAAGGAAGATTCATTTGTGCTTTTTCTGAACTCAAACTGCTGCTACACTATCAGTAATTCTCTTTTCTGAGATTGCTGGGAGTCTGTTTCAGCTGATCTTCGGGTGGAACTCAGGGGGAGGCAAATTCAAGGGTTAACAAGGGGAGGAGCTGTGTGGGCAACAAGGAGCAGGGGTGGTTGTTCCAAGCTTGTGGAAGGCCTCACACAGAGGGACACAGGGCCAGGGAGTTGTCTTGCTTCCCTGGGTCCCTACCCCCTCCTCTCACAGACATCCAGGTTGTATGGAGTCACACATATTGGTTGGTCTTGCTGCACCCAGGAGGCTGTTCTCACTTCATTCCCTTGGTGAGGAACCTTTTCTAGAGTCTAAACTTGAATTAAGTTCATTGTATGTGAAAGTGCTCTTGGTTCTACCACTGAGCTTCTGTATTCTCTCTCCATGGCCCTGCCGTTTGTCCAGGTGGAGTCGTGGAATGGTTTGGGTTGGAAGGGACCTTAAAGTTCTGGTGGAAAGAGAACAAAGAGTGTTGCTTATTGCTTGAGCTCCATACAGGATGTAAGTACCTTTGTAAGCAAAGGCACCTTTTGACCAGCTGCTTTCAAGGGAAGATGAAACAAGATCAGCTAGGGGAGTCCTGGACACCAGAGTAATGAAACCGAGAGCCAAGAGGAGGCCCCAAGAGCTTGGCCAATTCAGTTTCAGAAAGCTCATGCTGGTAAGTCGTGGTAGCTCCTGTACTGTTGAAGGTGGTGAAACCCTGGCCCAGGTTGCCCCGAGAAGCTGTGGCTGCCCCAGTAGAATAACCATTGTGTTATTCTACTTTGACAAATGGCAGAGCCACAGAGAGAAGATGGAAGCTCTTGGTCAAGCCAAGAGCACATTCATGTACAATGAACTTAAGTTCAGACTCTAGAAAGGGTTCCTGTCCAAGGCAACCTCATGTGGCTGCAGGCGTCGCATGGGACTTGTTTGTGGTTGGTCCACCAATGATGGTACAAGAAGAGACACCTCCCTGGCCAGTGTCAAGCTTGGTCTGGCAGGTTTGGAGGCACTTACACTTAGTTGGGTGAATTTCTTCACCTTTTGAGCAGGGGAGCAGGAGGCAGATCCTTCTCTTTGGGAGCACGAGTGGGCAGCATCTCTCTCTGGGCTGTGCTCCAAGGAGCGGGTCATGGGAGGGACTTTTCCATCCCTGAGGCCCCACCAGGACACCAGGGGTTGGACCGAGCGAGATCCAGGTTCCTTGTATTCCTCTGAAATTCAGGTATGGAGCTGAATTTCCAGCAGAGCAGCATACTGCTTCCAGATGTCATGTTCCTTCCAAACTGCAAAAGGTCCACACGAAAGCTGGTTTTGACTTGGTCCACGGGCGCATTTTGTTCCGTCAGATCTTTTTCTTTAAGTGGACTTGAATAGAGCAACCCACTAAAACTCTTTATTTCTGAGATTGTGTTTTGCAGTGGTCACAACTTCTACTGAGCCAGACTTCCTGATGTCAGAGATATGGGATAGACCAGAGCATGTTGTAGGAGAAGGAGGAGAGAAGGTGGCACCGTTAGATAACGCTGTCTTAGTCTGTGAGCAACGGACGCGGAACAATCCACGCAGGGGTTCGTCAGGCTCAAAAAACACACGTCAGCCAAAATTCTGTTTATTTTTGTCAGTCAGCTCGGGCAAACCCACGTAGACTCAGACACCCCGTGAACTGTTTTTGGGTTTAATGCCAGGGCTGCGCTTCGTTAAAGAAAATAGAATAATCCACTGTCATTTTTGTTTTTATCATATTAGGGTTTTGGCAGAGAATTTATTCAGTTTCCAATATATAGTTATTTATGTGCTACTAACTAGCTTTTCTGCATTCCCTGGAGAAAGCTCCATTAAAACTCTTAATGTGACACCACATATTTTTAGTAGACTAGAAAATAGTTACAATTTTAATTTAAATTGAAATGACTGTGTAATGGCTGGACAAATCATTCTCAGATCCCTAGAGCTCTTAATTGTAATTCTCCATTGTTTCTATGCATAAATTTTCTTTTCAAGTGCCCATTCTGAAATACTTACTAATTTTTTTAATGTTCTGTATTCATTTAATAGTTTTTTATGGTTAACAACTTCATGATTAAACTTTAATGTTAAATATAAATGGTGGAAACAATAATCTTATTCAAGTGTTGGGAAAATAAAGTGTGTTTGTATTTGGAGATGGCTTTAATTCAAGGAACTCCTTTTTGTGGAAGAAAAGGAAGAAAGCATCTGACTGAGAGTAACAGGCAGATTTCATTGTGTTTCCACAGTAGAGGAGCAAAAATCATGTTTTAATGAGATGTTCTTTTTTAGGCCTTTGCCTCCAATCACTGTGACATAAAATGAAACTTTACCCAAAGACACATCCCCGTGGAATTCACTCTTGTGCTCCCTTCCCCAGATGCTCCTGGTATCCTCCATCTCCTCTGCTGCTCCCCTTGGATTTCAGTTTCCCAGGGTCCCCTTCTCCCCTGCCCACCCCCGGTCCAGGCTTTTACTCTTCTGGAGTAATTTCCACCTTTCCTGAAGACAACATGAATGAAGCGAGACAGTGACCAT